GCCAGATCTACATAAATTTTAAGCAGTAAGTTTTCTTCGTCAAACCTTTAGATCCGTTGCGCATAGGTTTATGTTGAATGTTTGTCTGTGATTTGTGCATATCGAGATCCTCGTGGGTTCCAACAAGAGAGTGGCAGTGAACGAAGTCGGAACAAGCAATGACTTAGTGGCCCAACAGCTGGCAGAGCTTACTGAACAGATGAGGATGCTCAACGCACGAGGATCACAACCGGTGCAAACTATGGCCGTTGACACATGTGGGGCATGTGGAACCCCAGGGCATAGATCCGAAGTGTGTCCCCTATCATTCGATCAGGACTCGGGCGAGCAATTTATGGATGCTAGTGCTCTACAGGGATACCAGAATCGGCCAGGCAACGATCCGTTTTCCAATACGTACAACCCGGGATGGCGAAATCATCCCCACTTCTCTTGGTCAAACAACACGAACACCCTCCAACCACCCCGTCCGAATTTCACCCAGCAACAACCTCAACCCAACTTTGTGCCACGTCCGAACTACCAACCTCAGCAGCAGCAGCAGCAACAACAAGCACCGGGAGCAGGATCGAGTTCGACTCCCCAAGACGACAAGCTTGACAAAATCCTTCAATTCATGGCCAATAGTGAGCAGAGAAATATTAATCATGAGGCCTCTATCAAGCGTATAGAGACACAGCTGGGACAGCTAGCCACTAGGGTCGGGCATATGGAGGCCGAATCCGACAAAGGAAAGTTACCTAGCCAGCCCGAGCAAGCCAAAGCCATCACGGTACTCAGAAGCGGGAAGGTTGTGGACAACAAGGTGGAGATGCCCGAGCCCAAGGAGGAGGAGACTCATTCGGAAAAGATAAAAGAAGCAGAGCCCGATAAGGCAACTGACGAGCCGATGCTACATAAGTCACCTAATCCATATAAACCGCGCGTTCCCTTTCCAGACCGACTGAGAGACGAGAAGCAAGAAAAGCAGTTCCGGGATCTTTTCAGCATGCTCTCCAAGGTGAATGTCAACTTGCCACTTCTTGATGTGATAAAAAATATGCCATCTTATGGTAAGTTCTTCAAGGACTTGGTGACCAAGAAGAGGAAGTTTGAAGATGGTGAAAAGGTAGTTGTGTACGAAGCGGCAAGTGCAATGCAGAACGACTTGCCCAAGAAGGAGCGTGACCCAGGAGGCTTTATTATCCAGATCGCCTTGGGTAACGGGAAGGTAGCTTCGGGGATGCTTGACCTCGGAGCCGGAATTAATCTTATGCCCTTCTCGATTTTTCAGAGGCTTGGCCTTGGGGACTTGAGGCCAACTCGCATGTGCCTTCAGTTGGCAGACCGTTCCATCCGGTACCCTAAGGGGATAGTCGAGGATGTTCTCGTGAAGGTGGGCAAGCTCATCATCCCAGTGGATTTTGTTGTTTTAGACGTTGGAGATGTGCACGAGAATGGGAAGGATCACACCATCCTCCTCGGGAGACCCTTCATGGCAACAACAAACACTCTTATCGACGTGAAGAACGGAACCCTGAATATGACAGTTTTGGGAGAATCACTGTCTATTTCTGTTCGAGAGGTTGGGTCCGCATCCTCGGCCAATTTTGTAGAAGAGTGTGCCTTCATTGATCAAACCGATCCCTTTATCGATGAGATGGTACTTCATGAGTTCGAGGAAGTGTCAATACCAGTTTTTGAGGAAGAAGAGGAGCCTACAGTTGAACTTTTTGAAATGAGAGAAGGCCATTCCAGAGCTGAGACCACATTTGAGCTTAAGGAGCTGCCCAGGCACCTTAAGTACGTCTTCTTGGATGATGCCAAACAGAAACCGGTGATCATTTTTTCTGAGCTCGACAGCGAGGAAGAAGAGGAATTGATAGCCATGCTCCGGAAGTATCAGAAAGCAATTGGATGGAGCTTAGGAGACATCAAAGGAATCAGCCCATCCACATGCATGCACCGGATTATCTTGGAGGAGGGAGCAAAACCCTTTCGGGATAGCCAACGACGGCTAAACCCGAACATGATGGAGGTAGTCAAGAAGGAAGTGTTGAAACTTTTCTCGGAAGGGTTGATTTATCCAGTGGCGAGTAGTGAATGGGTTAGCCCAATCCATGTGGTACCAAAGAAAGGTGGCATTACCGTAATTGAGAATGATAAGAAGGAGTTGGTCCCCACCCGCATCACTACCGGGTGGCGCATGTGCATCGATTATAGGCGACTGAATGCAGTGACCAAGAAGGACCATTTTCCGTTGCCGTTTATTGACCAGATCCTAGACCGTCTTTCAGGCCACCAGTTCTACTGTTTCTTGGATGGACTCTCGGGCTACTACCAAGTGGCCATAGCACCCGAGGATCAGCCCAAGACGACATTCACGTGCCCTTTTGGCACCTTCGCATTCAGACGGATGCCATTTGGCCTATGTAATGCACCGGGGACGTTTCAGCGTTGCATGTTCTCCATTTTCTCGGATATGCTCGAGGACTGCCTACAGGTATTTATGGATGACTTCTCTATCTTTGGTGATTCATTTTCTCATTGTCTCCGTAATTTATCTAGAGTTCTTGAACGTTGCATTGAGTCCAATTTGACTTTGAGCTGGGAAAATAGTCATTTTATGGTCAAAACTGGAGTTGTCTTAGGTCACGTTGTTTCTTGTAGGGGGATTGAGGTCGATAAGGCCAAAGTAGATGTTATTGAAAAACTTCCCCCTCCTGTGAATGTTAAGGGGATTAGGAGTTTTTTGGGGCATGCAGGATTTTATAGGCGATTTATTAAAGATTTCTCTAAGATTAGTCAGCCACTGTGTCATTTGCTTGCTCAAGATGTGCCATTTGTATTTGATGATGCTTGTTTGTGTGCTTTTAATGAATTAAAGAGCAAACTTGTGAGTGCCCCGATTGTTATTGCCCCTGATTGGTCTATCCCTTTTGAAATCATGTGTGATGCGTCTAATCTTGCAGTGGGCGCCGTTTTGGGTCAGCGAGTTGATAAGTTGCTTCGAGTGATTTATTACGCTAGCTTGACTCTTAATGGGGCCCAACTGAATTATACTACCACCGAGAAGGAACTTCTAGCCGTCGTCTTTTCTCTTGAAAAATTTCGATCATATATTTTGGGTTCTAAGGTGATTATTCACTCTGACCACGTGGCTTTGAAGTACCTTCTAAGCAAAACTCATTCTAAACCACAGCTCATTCGGTGGATCTTATTATTGCAAGAGTTTGATGTTGATATAAAGGATAGAAAAGGTTCTGAGAATGTTGTTGCTGATCACTTGTCACGCATAGTACCATCTGATTCATCTTCATCATTGATTGTGCATCATTCTATAAATGATAATTTTCCCTATGAGCACGCACATGAAGTGACGAAAGGTGTTTGGTATGCTGACATTGTGAATTATCTGTGTTGTGGTAAACTGCGGCCTAATCTCTCTTCCCAAGAGAGAAAACGTTTTATTTCTGTGTGTAGGGATTACTTTTGGGACGAGCCATTCTTATTCAAGATGGGAAAGGATGAGGTGCTTAGGAGATGTGTTCCGGAAGAGGAGCAAGCTGATGTCCTCGCTTTCTGCCATGGATTCCACTGTGGCGGCCACTTTGGCGGTCAAAAAACCGCTTTTAAGGTATTACAATCAGGTTT